CCCCCGCCCTGGCGCGCGCTCCCGGCCCGCCGCCCACTCGCGGCCCTGTGTGTGGGGGGCGAGGCCGGAAGGGGACCCTTGGGCGCAGATTCGGCGGGGAGGGGGCCCAAAAGCTGCGGGGGCCGCGGCGGCGCGGGCGCGGGTCTCCTGTCCGGCCCCTCGTCCCCCTCGCCCTCCTGCCCTCCGCGAGGCCTACACGACGCCGGGGCTTTGGGTGCGTGTTGGGGAGGGGGAGGGGGAGTACGTGGGGCTCCAGAGACTGCGACAAAAAGAGGGTTTCGGGGACAGGAAATGGGGTGGCGGGCCGAGGGAGGGGGACCCGCCTCCGTGGGGTGTGTGATTCGCGGGAGAGGGCAGGCGGGGAAGAGGGGCGCCGCGAGCAGGGGGCGACGCTGGGGGGCGCCGGGCGGCGGAGGGGCCCGGCATCGGGCGGCCTCGGTGGGGAGGTGGCCGCGGAGTGGGGGGGCGGTGACATCAGCCCCTCGGGAAGGACCGAGCGGTAAAGGTGGTGCAGTGGGGGAGGGGCGCGGCGAGTCGTGGCGCCGAGGGGGCGGGGAGGCGGGACGCGGCCGCTGGGCGCGACTCGTGCGCTCCGGGCAGGGCAGGACGGACCCTGAGGAGCAGACGTGTCCTCGGGCCGCCGGCCGTGGAAGGAAGAGAAGGACAATCAAATAAAATAAGACACACGCACACACACCAAGTGGATAGTGAGGGCGCAGAGTGCCCGAGGAAGCCAAATGACACGTCATTTTACAGTATGACCTTTTTCTCCCCTCCAGACTCAGGCTTTTTGTAAAAGCAGAGAAGAGAATTAATTGTACCAGCTGACCCCCCCTGCAGCGCCCCTCACACCCGTGCAATAAACCATTAAACACACACATCTGCCTGTTAGCCACATTGCGAGTGCTTTGTGAAAACAACAATAACATGCACAAATCAGATAAAACTGGAAAATGACATTTGTCTGGAAATGGCCTCTTGGTCTGGAAATGGCGTTTTAAACATTTTGTCCTTTTCAAGGTGGGAGGGGGACAGCGCTCTGAGGGAAGACTTCCCAGGGGGAGATGGAAAGACATTAATTACTTTGTCAAGTGACATTTGGTTGTTTGGTTTTTCTTCTCTTTTTTGATTGTGGTTTTTCCTCTTTGGCCAAGGTGGGGGGGCGGTGCTAACCCTGGGGAGATAGCCTTTCCTTTTTTCTTTAAGGTGCTGCTTTGGGAAAAAAACAAAATCATTAAAAAAATGTTGAAATGACCAGACTAATTACACAAGCATTAATTAGAATGGAAGTTTTCTACTTCCTTGGCAATTTGGCTGAGTAAATTTGTGAATGTGCTAAGTTCAGACCCTAGTCCATGGTCAGATTTCAACAAAACGGCTTGATTCTCAAAAATAAAATGTAAAAGGCTGGTTTTTATTTATTTATTTTGTGGTGGTGTTTGGTTTGCTCTTTTCGGATGGGTCACGTCTTTGTTCTCCTAGGGTCCAGATTAATAAAAGAAAATTACTAAATGAAAATAAATCCCTCTGCTGTTTATGCATTTGCAGTTTCAGTAATTAAATGGTACACATGCAGAGGTCTTGTCTAGGACTTCTAAAGGTAGAATTAATTGTGTTTGAATATTAATGTATACATGATTTGATTTCAAAGTATAACGTGGAAAAGTCTGGAATCTTTCAACACTAGCTACCTTGCTGTCTAGATACTAATTTAAGTCAAGTGTGATGCTAATTGCGCTTTACATGTGTAACACCATACACCTTGCTTTGCTGTGGGCTTATCTTTTGAGGTGTCCTAGGCTGCAGGGTGGCATTTTGTAAAGACTTTATTGATAGCCGTTGGCACAGAAATTTGTAGCCCTATCAGTGACAGCATTTTGCATCTTAAAATGGTGACACTGACCAAATAATGCCCCTCAAAAAGAGGGAAGAGTACCCCAAATTCATTTTGCTCTGATTTAATGTGTGAAAATTAAGTGAATCACAGCACCAAAAAAAAAAAAAAAAAAAATTGGCCCATTCCTCTAATTTCACAAATGTGGAAACTGAGGCACAGGTGTGATCTTTTGTGCCAGTAAAAGACAGGTATTCTATATCTTACCATTTGTGAGATAAAATTACTGGAAATCTTGATTAAGAAGGATTGTCATTATGGTATCTCTTAATAGTACCGCTTATATTTTAATTAGTGAAGTTGTGTTCATTAAGATAGGGTGTTTGCTTTGAAATCAATGCTTTTCTGGAAACTAATTTTAACTTTTTACAGATATTGATTCTATCCTTCTGAAGAAGCAAGAGAAGGAGGAATGCTATCTGGGCATTAAAACAAACCAAAAAAAAAAAAAAATGAAAAGTAGAAAGAAACATGGGTAAAAGCCACACAGATTGTGTAGGGGGAGGGCAGAAAACCAGTTCACATGGGGGTGATCTGTTGAAGAGTGAATTTGCCCCCCAAAAAGGCAAACTGGCAATCCTCCTTCTGGCTTCATGGTAATGTCTCTTCAATGCACTGTTATGTTTTTAACATGTGAAAGGTGATTTAGAATGAATGCATGGGTCTCTTCCAACTACTCTTAGTTGAGAAGGACTGAAAACCTTTGAAATTTCGTGGTTTCCAGGAATATTTTTCCTCCCAATTAAGTCTTGTCCTTTCATTCCTCTTTACAGTGGTTGCAGGTTACCTAATGCTAATGTGTTCTCAGGTGCTCTGCTTGATGCTAAAGTGTTTTGTGAGAAGATGAGGCTCACTGATGGGCATCCATTTTCTTCTGCAGCACTGTTGTATCCAGAGAGAATTTATCTTTGGAAAGACACAGTTTGCAGGGGAAAGGAGGGTGAAGAAGTGGCTAAGGAGTAACATTGTGGTGTTAGGGGTGGGTTCTGAAGTAGCCCAAGGGTGGGAAACCTGCAGGAAAGGCTGCTGCAGTGTGCAAATGGGGGGGGGGTGCTGCATCGGTACGTGCTGTGCAAGGGACTGCAGTGTCTGGGCATTGTTTGCAAACCCTGGGTATTTTAACCATGAACTCTCTGACAAACAAGGAATTATGTGGTTATCAATATTCATGTGGATATTTGGCCAGTCATTTGTCACATCTGAAGAACTTAGGGTCACAAATTTTACTTCAGTTTTCTGCCCCCGCCCTTCAAAACGACAAAATTACGTCCTTCTCTTTGCCCCTCACCTTCAGCACCCACAATTTTTAAAACAGCTAAAAGGACAAATTAAAAAAAAAAGAAAGAAAACAAAACAGACAACTGAAAACAGCAAGACCTGTTAATTCTTGTTTGTTACTCTGGTGAAATGCTGCAGGGTAGACACTGAGTTGGATTTGTATTTCTCTCTGCGTCGAAATGTCAAGGCAAATTGCAAGTCTGTTGTGTTTGTTGTTGTGTGTTGCTTCTTTGGAAAACCCAACCCAAACAGAAGTTCTCTCCCTGCCCTAAGTGTGAGCTGCCTCTTTCTTAACCTGAGACTTACTTTCGTTTTCTAGGTGCTGGAGAATCTGGTAAAAGCACCATTGTGAAGCAAATGAGGATCCTGCATGTTAATGGGTTTAATGGAGAGTAAGTGTCAACTCTGTGTCCAGGCCTGAGAGTGACAGGTGTCATGCCAACCTTTAGGAAGCTAGGTAGCTTGTAGGGCTGGGCAGCTAAGCTTCACACACACACCCCCTTCCCCCAATTTATTTATTTTTTTCTATTGGAAAATCCTGAGGTAAGTTCTTGGGGCTGCCTCCCTCATCATTAATATTTGGCGCGACAACACAATAACAGCAGAGCGCCCATGGTCAGGTAGAGCATCACCCCGTCCCGGGAAGACGTTCCTGGTGGCACAAGTACAGTTAACAGCACTTGGCCCCGAGCAGCGTGTCGGAGGCCAGGTCCCCGCAGATCTGCTGCGGTGCGTCTCCAGCGGCCTTGACCACCCTTGTCTGGCCAGTGCTGACCTGTGCAGGATGGTTGAAACTCTTAGAGAAACATTGTTTCAGTAATATCCTTACATAACAAAGTTGGATGTGACGGCCTTTGTTAGCCATTTTGCATATTTTTTTGCCCCCTTTCAATTAACCTGATGGACAAATAATTTAAACTTACTTACAAAAATATTCCTGCCTGAAGAAAGGGAAGGATTAAAATGATGAGAAGGCTGGGAATTAGATATTTCCTCTTAAGTGCAAGGGACGTTTTGCCTTTGAAATGTCCTTCCGGGCCTTGTGGGATAGGACAGTGTGGCAGTGCTGCAGTGAGAATAAAGATTTGCTAAAGAGCAATGGCTCACAGATCAACAGAGGTGAGGTCAGTATGGGTCATGCGTGCCGAGAAGGTGAACCAACCAAAGGAATATTCAGTACCATGGAATTAATTTGCTTTTTATCCCCAAAGCCCCAAATGGGCCACATGTTTCATTGTCCTGTAGTAAAATATGTAAAACAGAAAAAGCTAATTTACCAGTCTCTGTTCCCTCCTGCGGGGTGGTTAACCTTCCTGGAGTAGAAGCACCTGCAGGCACTAGTGAGTCTGCAGTCACTGGCTAGCCGTCCCGGTCCCTTTTCAAACCTGGAGTCACTTGAAAGTTTTTCCCTCGTATTGGCTTCCATTTAAGATAAGTAGATTGAGACAAGTTGTGACCCTTTAATTCCATTGTGCATTCCCGACCATGAGAAGCATCACCCCTGCAAGTTAAGGGGCGAGACACGACACAGACGTGAACTTTGTTACCCTCCAGACTGCTAAAGGCGGTTCTTTATTGAAAATTCTAGAATTTATTAGTGCAGATAATAGGTTAGAAAAAGATGACATCACTTGAACAAATGGTCATTTAGATTTAGGGTGCTTTTTCATTTTGAATTCAGGAAGATTTGTTAGCATGCAGAAAGGGCAGATGGGCTCGCTTGCCAGTTTTATGATTTGATGAGTTATACACCTAGGTGCTATTAAGTGTGTCACCTACACTTGTCACAAACCTCTTCTGAAATTCTTAATTCCCGAAGCAGGCTTCTAGCCATGAATCTGTAACTTAGAAGAAAGGAAACACAGCCTGCATCAATCCCCCTGCCCCTACCGTAACCTGTAGGGAGCGCTGCTCCATGAGACTAGTTAAGCAAAAGTAATTTGACCATGCACCCTCTAGATAAATATTTTGATTAAAGCTGGACATGGCTAACATTTTTAAAAGATGCAGCAGCTGCTGTTTACCTTAGCTTGAGTCGGATGGAAAGAGAAGTCATCCTTGAAATAATTCACTTGAAGTTTTACTGCTCTACAGGTTGCCCTAAAATTGTAAGAATTTTTGCAGAAAGTTCTCACCTCCGTGAGGGGCCAGCCTAGTGCACAAGAGGCTTCAAGAACTTCTCCTTTCTATTTTCTTTGCAAAAAGAGGAAGTGACATTCCCAGTTCGCCTCCTTTGTGGATCTCGGAGGTGGTTAAATTTAGCCTGCAAAAGTGACATAGGCAGGATTGCTAAGGCGGGGGTCAGTCCCTCCTTTTTTACCTAGGCCAGCTACGTCTTCCTCCTTTTTCCTCACTATGGTATTGCAGCAAACGCTGGTTGCACAATTCCCTGGTGAATCGCGACCTCTGTCCCTAAAGGGTGGTCTGCCTGTGTGGGGCTTCTCTTCCCCTCGTCTTTTCCCTGTTCTGCCCCGCTGTCTTGCACTTTGTTAGTTCTAGGCTGAGCTGTGAAATTTGCCTTAACTGTCCACAGGCTGCTGTGCCAATTACATTTTTCAAACTAACATCCTATTAATGCAACCTTCAGAGATACAGAAGTCGAATGAGGATTTTTCTAATTCAGCGCTGTTACCTTAATGCTAGGGGAAAAAAAATCATCGTTAACATTGGTTAAGCTAAGTTAATTATAAAACCGCGTGGAAGGCTTAGCTCTCTTACCCTTCCATCCTCCAGGAGCCGTTCCTACAATTTATGAAGATCAGGTTTGGTTTTTAATTGTTTTCTGATTTATTTCTTTTGCTGCCTCCTAGTCCAGACAGCTGTAACTGATGGCAGTTTATAAACATAAGCACTGGCGAGGTAGGTTGCCCTGCTGCAGGAAGAGAGGTCATTTTTGCACCAGGTAATCAGAGGCACAAATCTCCTGTCTGCATTTGCCTGCTCAGAACGAGATTCTGACCTGGGACAATTAGGAGGAGCCTTCTGCACTGCCTTAGTCTCAAAAGGGTTGTACAGTAAATCACTGCTTCAGGTCCCTGGTGCATGTACATTTAGTGAAAGCACAGGAAAATAATTATCTGTCCCTCCTGTATCCGACCAGAGTCTCCAGAGGGCCCTGTTCATACTGCAGCGGAGGTGTGGAACCCTTCCCCCTACGGCCTGCCCACAGTCTCAGTAGACATTCCGAGCTAGCCAGAAAGGCGGCCTGAGAACCGCCGGGAGGGTGGCGCGCGGATTGTTGCATTCACTCTTGGCTGATTGTTGAGGAATGTGGAGAGGCTGTGTGGGGTTTGTGTGAAGTTGTGGTGCGTTGCAGATTAGGTGAGCTTTCAATCTCTCTTTACAAGGGGCGGCGAGGAGGACCCGCAGGCTGCAAGGAGCAACAGCGATGGGTAGGCACATTCAAACAGCAAAATGTTTTGAACAAACAAAACAAACATGGTGATCATCCTGGGAAACTGAGGACACAGACTCGGGAAGAAAATAAAAATCATTTAAGGGCCATCAGCTATCTTGGTATACGTTTGCAACAGAAGTATAAACTTTCTTAACAAGTAAAGTGCAAAGCAATTGTGTTGGCCATACATAAAGTATAATTAAATCCAGCTGGGGGAAAGCTGTAAATTTCAGTTTTAGATGATAATTTAGAATTTTGAGAATCGATGCTTTCCCATATGGTTTCTATTTTCCCCCAGTTCTCCATTTGAATCAACTACTGGTTTCTAAAACTATCTACTAAATTCTATCTGCTAAGTGTTGGTTGGATTTTAAAATTTCAGACCTCTTTGAAAAAAAAAAATTGTTTTCCCTCTATTGTATTCATTGCCCCCAGCACTTCGGAGGCTGAGGCAGGAGGCTTGCCATGAGTTCAAGGCCAACCTGGGCTACATAGGTCAAGGTCAGCCTGAACTGCATAGTGAGACCCTATCTCAAAAACCCCCATCCCCCCAAAAAATTCAGTGCCACATGGTTCTTAATTTTGAAAAATGCCTTGGCACTTTGTGGTAGGTCGTTATTAATCATCTTGAAGCCTCTGGCCTTTTAAAAATGATCAAGTTTCTTATAATGGAAAGCGCTTCCCATCACCTAGCAGATAAGGATGTTCATGATGGCATCTTTTTTTTTCCCATTCATTGTCACTTTTTCTGTTTCCGGCATCGCCACATCGTCTCCTGTGTGCGCACACACAAACACACGCACATGCATGCCAGGTAACCACTCCAGCTCCACCTGCATACTTAGCATGCAGGGATGGAGCAGCATTTTCTCATGAGAACACACAGGGCCATTGACTTAGCCTAGGGCAGAGGCTGGGGAGAGGCGGAGCAGAGGCTACTGGGGTCGGGAGTGAAGTGACTGACACTTGTTTGTTCATCTGTTTCTTTTAGAATATATTACCCCTAGATGATGCTACAGTCGCTCATCTTCCCGGCCATGTCCTATCACAATTGCATGCTGGAGTCCTTCGGTCTTAGGAGCTTCTAATAAGAATACTATTCTGTTATCTGGGGGTGGGGGGAGTGGGGCCCTACCTATCACCTCACCTTTAAAGATACCTAAAAAACTCCTTGATTGGCAAAAATGTAGTAGAATAGCAGCCAAAAGGCATCTATATCTATAGGAAAAGTGATTGATAAGTCATCTGTACCAGAAGTTGGCACCTGAGAACTAAGACATCCTATTGAACAACCCTACTGTGCACTAGATGTTGTGCTAGCCCCTCAAGCCCTACTAATACCTTCCTGCACGTCTCTGATTCTGCTCTACAAGTTAACATAAGTATTAACATTCCTGATAAATAAAAATTCTCTGCATGTCTCAGCATCCCTGTATCTTGCGTCTGTCTTCTGTCTTCCTTCTTTTGTCTGTTCCCCACAAAAGCACCAAGAGAAGGGTAGACCCAAGTGAAGCGTAGGACACACAGCTGTCCCCCACCACTTAGCTGAGGAGAGGCGGGGCCTTCGAAGAAACACTAACCCTACTAATCTTTATATATTGGGGTGCGGGGGCAGTGAGGCCCTGAGAGTATGCCTACCCACCTTGACTTTTTGGTCAAGTAGTAGAATGGCAAGTGGCATATATTTTGCCATTGTTGAGTGATTTAGCAGCATCTGAGGAACATTCTCCAAATTTTATGATCGACGTTAAATTCATTAAGCAGCAGTACAAATGATGATAAACCTGCCAACCCGTTTAATATCTCCATCTACATAGTAATTGCTTCAAGGGAAGAATTTATGTTTTAGTATTACACACCCGAATTAGATTTTAGATTTCTATTTTAGCTGTTTTATACTTGATATACTCCCACACCTATTCACATACGTAGATGAATGCTGAACACGTTCTCAAAATATCCGTATTTTAAGACTGGAAGTTTTCCAATTATCATACTACTACTTAGACCAAAATATCAAACTGAATGAAAGAATCTCATTTCTGGAAGTATTTTCCCCTTGCTGTGTGTGGATGTGGGTATTTAACACCTAAGCACACCTCATTTTTCTGTCGTAGGAATTTAAAACCAGAGCTTCAGGGCTGTAAGTACCAATGCCATGGAGCTGATTTTAGTGAGAACGAGCTGATTTGTCCTAGGGGATTTCAGGAAAGTTCTGAACTAAAGAGTGAACGTGAGGGGCATTGAGCTCCTGTCCTTGTAATCTCTGACATCTGAATAATTTTTGATGAGCTAGAAAACTGTAATTCCAGAAATGAGCTTCAATTCCCTACATTAAAGCATAGCAGGCCTGCGGAGGGCCAGGGAGCACAGTCCCCTTAAATATAGAGTGACCGAGCTTTAAAAGCGTGGGGGCCGGGGGCAGCAGTCTAATTTGGCCTGAGTACCACACCCCGGGTCTGGGCATGCCCTTTACCACCTCCGCCCCAAGGTTCTGACTACCACTCATGAGTTTTTACTTAAGTTCCTGAAGAATTCCTGGTACCACCTGTCTCCACCCCCCTCACACACTCCTTGGTGACAGCAGCCCCTCCCAGACCTAGCTGGCCCCTCCCACTCACTAATGAAGAGCCCATGGAAGAGTAAGGCTCCATCCTACGGGTGAAAGCTTTCAGAGGACTAGGACCAGCTCTCCAAACATACAGATTCTTACTTGGCAGAAAATGCCCAGGAGCTCTTAACTATTCCAGTTCTTTGGAAAAAGAAAGGCCAAGAGTCGGGGAGATGGCTCAGAATAAGCACTTCCCTGGCAAGCACAAGGGTCTGAGTTCTATCCCTGGTTCTGCCAAAAAAAAAAAAAAAAAAAGGAAAAAGAAAGGACAGGTTGCGGAGAGCCTTGAGCCCACATGCATGAGAACGCACCCTCCCCACCACCTGTGCCACTAACTCCCTGGCCTGCCTGCAGTAATGGCTGACTCCCCTCTGCCTTTCCTCTGCCTTAATCTTCCACCCTGCTCTACTACAGAGGGGTTAATTTCTACCTGCATTCTGTGACTCTCAAGTCAATTGACCAAGTGAATGCTTCGAAAATTGGGAATGTCAGCTTTGGTTTGGTTTTTTAATCAAGAGGAGCTTTGTCCATGGTCCCCCCCACCCCACCCCAGGCCTCTGGATGGGACGTTCCCTGCCAGTGATCTCCCAGTGAGGAGTGTGGCACTTTCCACAGGATGATAGGACATGTCCTGGGACCTCCTACCTGACAGGTGCTGCACGGGTTCACCTACTGGAAGAAGGCATGGTTTGGACCAGACACGACAAGCTCTGTACTCCAAGGAGGAGGTGCTTTTTGTCCTCCAAAAACACAGACTTCAGAGTCTCTGATAGCTGTGTCTCCAACGAAGGCCATTTTCTAGAACACAAAGCATTTAGATCAGTGTAATCTACTGCCAAGATGAGCATGCTGGCCATACTGACAGGACCCCAGCAGCCAGAGGTAGACCCTTTTCAGGGGGACCAGTGATTCTGAATAGGAGTCATTCCAGAGACCACGTAGCCTGTCCTGGGTATTGCATTAGCATCAAAATCTGAGAAAAGGAACAAATCCTCAGCCTGCTTAAAAGGAAGCGGGCGCCCCATATCATTAGGACTCCTTGGGGGCAGCTGACCCCTCTCTATCATTAGAACTCCGTAGGGGAAGCTGACCTCCCTCTGTATCATTAGGACTTTTGGAGGAAGCTGACCCCCTCTATCACTAGGACTCCTGGGGGGAAGCTGACCCCCCTCTAGATCAGGACTTTTGGGGGAAGCTGACCCCCCTCTATCATTAGGACTCCTTGGGGAAGCTGACCTCTGTATCATTGGAACTCCTGGGGGAGGCTGACCCCCTCTTCATTAGGACTCCTTGGGGGAAGCAGACCCCCTCTATCACTAGGGCTCCTAGGGAGAGGCTGACCCCCCTCTAGATCAGGACTTTTAGGGGAAGCTGACCCCCCCTCTATCATTAGGACTCCTTGGGGGAAGCTGAGCCCCCTCTGTATCATTGGGACTCCTGGGGGAGACTGACCCCCCCCCTCTAGATCAGGACTTTTGGGGGAAGCTGACCCCCCTCTATCATTAGGACTCCTTGGGGGAAGCTGACCTCCTCTATCATGAGACTCCTGTGGGAGGCTGACCCCCTCTATCATTAGGACTCCTTGGGGGAAGCAGACCTCCTCTGTATCACTAGGGCTCCTAGGAGGAAGCTGACCCTCTCTGTATCACTAGGACTCCTGGGGGAGGCTGACCCCCCCTCTAGATCAGGACTTTTGGGGGAAGCTGACCTCCTCTGTATCATTGGTACTCCTGGGGGAAGCTGACTCCCTCTGTATCACTAGGGCTCCTAGGGGGAAGCTGACCCCCCTCTAGATCAGGACTTTTGGGAGAAGCTGACCCCCCTCTGTATCACTAGGACTCCTTGGGGGAAGCAGACCCCCTCTGTATCACTAGGGCTCCTGGGGGGAAGCTGACCCTCTCTGTATCACTAGGACTCCTGGGGGGAAGCTGACCCCCCTCTAGATCAGGACTTTTGGGAGAAGCTGACCCCCCTCTGTATCACTAGGACTCCTTGGGGGAAGCTGGCCTCTGTATCATTGGTACTCCTGGGG